ATGTTGTGAGGAGAAAAAAAAAGTGTGTCACATTAGATTGGGTAGAGAGAAGTGATGGGAGGGGAGGGGAGGGGAAGGGGAGGGGGCTTAGGAAAGGCAGCAGAATAAAATAGACATTATTATGGTTGTATGTATATAGGTGAGTGTATGATCAATGTGATTCTGCAACCTGTACAATCAGAAAAATGAGAAATTATACCCCATTTGATTCAAAATGTATGAATTATCAAGATCATTGCATTGTCATGTGTAGCTAATAAAGAAAAAAAAGACACACACAAAAGAATAAAAAAAAAGAAAAGAAAATACTTCCTTGATCCATTTATATCTGCACTAAGATACAGATATTTTCTATTGAATAATGACTTTGCTTCCCTGGTTCCCATCTTCAAAGAGAAGATCTAATGTTGATACTAGTACTTAAGCTCTTAATTACTTTTCTTTTTCAGAAGCAAAAGTAGAAATAACAAAGGATAGTGTGGTTAATAAGTAAGTAACCAAAACTTTTAACTAAGGACAAATCTCTTCTGACTAAAGAACATTATATAATCTTTCCTGTTGCTCTACTTCAATTGATAAAAATAAGCTAGTCAGATACTTGTTTTCAGGCCCTAAGTACACAATGTTTTTTGTTAAATATTTTTAAAATTGTCAATAGACCTTTATTTTATCCATTAATTTATTTATATGTGGTACTGAGAATTGAACCCAGTGTCTCACACCTGCTAGCCAAGCACTCTTCCACTGAGCCACAACCCCAACCCCACACAATGGCTTTTTTGAGTTATCAATGTCAACAAAAGAGCGTAAGCTGCTTGGGAAGAAACCAAGTCCCTGGCATCTAGAAGGAGCTGGCATATGGGAGGTCACACAGGGCTTCTGGCTTCAGTCAGTGATTCTCAAAGATTCCCAGGTGCTAGATTCCCAAAGCTAGAATGACATAGCTCCCGATTAAAGGAGAATCTTCTAGCAGGGGTGTCTGAGCAGGATCTTTCCTGAGACACAGGCCATTACAAAATAACATCCTCAAATGTTGCAGAATGAGAAATTAGACAAAGGAAAAAATGAAAGCTCAAGTTTTGTTAAATTCCAGAGGATAGTCTTATAAATCTTTTTTTTTTAAATATTTTTTTAGATGTTAATGAACCTTTATTTTATTCATTTATTTATATGTGGATCTGAGAGAATCAAACCCAGTGCCTCACACATGCTAGGCAAGTACTCTACCACTGAGCCACAACCCCAGCCAGTCCAATGAATCTTAGAGCAATTCTCTTCCTATTTGAGGAGTGGGTCTTTGTGTCTAAAGTTCTTGCACACCCAGTTGCTGCCAAAAAAATAAAAGTATTTCAAATTCTCAAATATTCACAGTGACATCTGAGTTCAGACACTGTACAGGCTTGTCAGTAAATGTAATAATATTTACTTACATAAGTTTTTTTGCTAGACAAATTTAGTAATCAGTTTCAGAAAATGTGCTTAAGCCAAACTAACAACAGAGAGAGAAAAACAAACATTCCCCACTTTTAAGTATTATTAATCAAAGTAAATATAGTTCTATCTTATCATCATGTTTTCTATGAGGAAACTTCATTTCTTTTTTTAGATTTGGAGAATTGCTTTTCCTGATAGAACCCCCAGAACTGAGAACCCTGAACTGCAAACTTGTCCTTTGCCCTAGTTGTTTACCAGCCTTATCAGAGGACACATGGGTTGGCATGTGATTCTAAGACACAAAACCCCAAAGATATAATTAGATGTTTTCCCCAGAAATATCACCCAATGCCATGGAAGTTTGTTTGATATTGTTCACATCATACTTGGAAGTAAATTGTCCCACAATTTTTTGCTATTTGACAATTTTCCTTTAGAAAGAAAACAAATTTCCTTTAGAAAAACAAGACTTGGCATTGAAAAAAAAGTACCTATTTTGATAAACTAATGGTAATACAATCCTAATTTCACAAGTTCTAATGGTGTCATTCTCCAATAAACAATAGCATACTTCTTAATGAGCATCACATCATAAATAAAATGATGAAAATAATTTTATTCCTTTGAATTAAAATACGGATGGTAAGTGGTAGCAAGGTAGATAAAAATCAATAGTGTACAAGCTTTCTTACATTACTGCATTGCTTAATGCATCTAGTTCACTTCTGAATCAAGGGGACAAAAAGACAAAGGAAGGAAACCATAAATGTGTTTGCTATTCGGCAGATAAACATCCTTCAGCCCCGCCAAAGTAATATTATGAGAGTACTCTTGAGTTTATACTGAACCCCAGTGCTGCCCGTTTTTGATAAAGTCAAAAACTGATCAGATTTGCAGAAAACAAAACAAACACAAAAACAAAACAAAAACTTCTACTGCCACCTGCTGGTGTTTTCTAGTCAATGATAATCAAAGGTGTTAGAATGACAAACTTGAGTTAAGCTTTATCTTTTGATTTTTAAAACAAGTATAAACTTTGAATTATTACCTACTCTTCTCCAGGTATAGATGAACATACAATACACATAGTTAATAATGTATATAATATTCTATATAATTCTAGAAGTGTAGAGCCAAACGTAAGCATATTTTTCTGCCTGTTTCATGGACAGACTGTACCATATTATTCTAAAAGGAAGACAAGGATGACCACATTTCCATTCTTTCCTTTCTCACAAAACCCATTCTGCTCATTCCTAGGTCAGCAATAAATATTTGAAGCCAAATTATCTTGGCAGACCTATCCACAGAGTATAGGTGCAACTCTGACATTTGAAGTCAGCTTCATAAGATTTTTACCAAGAACCACAGACCAAGTCTGTATTTTTGAATACTTCTCTACAGTAAATTTAAACTCTAAGGATACTGACATAACTCTGATGGAGGGTCCCAAATGAGAGTTCTAAGGCTGAAACTATACATCCCTGTTGGAAAGATATTATAACTGGAGTTGTGAACAACTTTAACATTAGAAAGAATGGAGCCTATGTTCCTGCAATCAACTTCATTTCTTATTTTGGAGGGTCTAAGATTTTTTTTAAAAGCCTTAGATAAAAAATATTTTAAGGGAGATAATCATTCTTTTTAACTTTGAGGGTATTTTTAAAAATCAGAGGAGATAAGTAAAGCATGCTAAGAAAACAATACTTTCTATCAATCACATACCAATGTTTCCCAGAAACAAAATAGGAAAATTATTTTTTAATTATTTCATAACACTAGTCATACATTATATGATTTTTTTCATGTCACATTGCTTTGTCTATTCTAAAAATATGCTCAAAATCTGCATTCAACTAATTATTTTCTCTAAAATCAGTTCTAAGTACAATGTGAATCGGAAGGCAATGCCTCAACACATAAACTCTGGTCTTTCACATCCCTAGACATGAGCAAATTTGTCTGCTAGAATACCTAAGAATTTTCTATAATACTGCAGTGCTATAATTAAGTCTTGTACAAATTCTGCTGCCAAAACATCACCAAAATGGGTGGTGAATACAGGCCAAGTAAACTCTAATTATGGAAGGCGGGTTTTCTAAGATCCTACATCCAAGAAGGAAGGCAAGATCAGAGAGCTAAGACAGGCTACTGAGGCAATATAAATAGCCTTGTCAAATTCAATGCAAGCCCCCTAGCTGCTGTCTTCTATAGTTCACAGGTATGTTAAAAAACACAATCTGGGGCCCTCTACTTGGAATCTAGCACTTGATTGTTCTCTGAAATATGAAGTTATGAAATTAATAGGTCATTGGATCCAAAAAGGCAACAGAATGCCAAAGTACCAGATAACTTTCCATTTCAAATTTCAGGCTCTGCTCAGAGTTCAGTAAAGTACACTTTAGCATTCTAAAAACCAGTAAGCAAATTGTCAGTAAATAGTACAACACATTTCCCCAAACTGGATGCCTTGTGTATAACCAGCACCCAGTCAAAAATCAGAGCCTTGTCTGTCTTCCAGAAGTGTCCTCCATTCACACAAGGAGAGTTCCTAATTTTATAAAATAGTATTGATATATAAATAAATATACTATTGAATAGTTCTCTCAGTAAGAGGGTTACATAGCATATTCTTACCTGCTGGATTCATACAAATGATTATGTTTATTTCCCTTTGTCTTTATAAATGTCTATGCCTTTCTTTCCCCTTATCAGTAAACTGTGTGAATGAGTTGGTTACTCATTTGAGTCTAATTCAAATATCATCTCCTGTGTGGATGTCTTGACCTTCACAGAATGGATTAAGTCCTTATCCATGATATTCACAGAGTAGTTTGCAAATAGCTGTGTTCCCACATCACACTGAATTATAGTTATTTACATGTACATATACTTCCTACACTGTAACTCAAGGATAGAAAAGGAATTTAATTTCATCTTTTGATCTGCCTTCTCTGTCCTCAACTGTGCTTTCAATCTGATGCTTTAAATTGCACAAAAATGAATAATTTGAGAAATGGAACAATTTTTCAAATGAGTTTGTTTTTTCAAACTGTATTCTCTTAGGTCAAATGAAACAATATTTATTTATGCAGATGTTTTAAAGTGTATATCATCTTGTTTATTCTTTTATGGTGCTGGGGATTAAAGCTAGAACCGTGTACAACATGGTCTACTGCTGAGTTATACCCCTAGTCCCAGTACATATCATCTTAACACCCTCTAGGTGAAGAATTTATAACAGAGTTATGTTTTATTCCACCAGATTAAACAACATATGTTCACATTAACATATATAAGTTATCAATATATTGGTTGACAATAAGATGTTTGTCATTTTCTTGTAGGTGACATCAAGATACTTCTCCTTGAGGGAAGTTTACAAAATATACATTCTAGGCCTTAATTTCTCATTTCCTTATATTGCTCTCCTTCCTCATCCTCTTCTACTGCAAAACTAAACGAGCTTATTTCAATTCAGTTGAGATTCACTGTATTTAGTCACTCCAAGGATTACAGAAGAAACATACACCTCATATAAATCAGACATGCCAGAGCTCTCCTACCTGTGTACCTAAGCTGGCTGCCATCATGTGAGTCAGAAGTTTAGCTGCAAACATGGAGTACCTGGCACAGAAGATGTGGGAAAGAACCGCCAAGCAAAGACCTGAGGAAACAAAAGAGGCCATGTGTGGTTTTGTAATCCATGAAGAGGCAAACAGTATCACAGTGGAAATCTTTGGGACAGTTAAGCACATAGACCTATCATCTGTTACTATGGCTCATAGCAAAACACATCACCCCTGGGAAAAAGTACATTTTACCTGATGTATAAATTCTTTGTGTATATCAGTTAAGCCCAAAGAATGACTTTATTTTCAAATATCTACATGTTTGCATCCCTGATGAAATAATGAATTAAGCATATTAATTTTAATAAGGATTTAGTTTTCTATGTTTAAATTCATCAAGTTTTACTGTT